TACGATTGGATGGATGTTATGCAGATTTCCCTACAGGATTAAGATGGTTGTGTTGGCCTGAATTTCCTTTGGATTCTATACCAATTGATTTTCCTTTGGAGAACGTAATTGTTCTTGAAATGCAATACAGTAGCTTAAGACAAGTATGCAAAGGAACAAAAGTATGTTACTCTATGCATTTCAATTCATTTTCCTTATTTTGTTAGTTTTTTATTTGTTGACTAACTCCATGTGTTAAAATGAACTACTATGTTTTCTTTAATTCGATGACTAATTTCTTATCTTAGATACTTATTTCATTGTTCTTTTTTTTTTTCTTTTTTTTCCTCTGTTTCCACAGGTTCTTCCATCTTTAAAGATCCTTGACATCAGTCATTCTCATGGCCTTAGTGAAACCATTGACTTCTCACTTTCCCCCAATCTAGAGGAACTGATTCTTGTAGATTGCACAAGCCTGAAGAATGTTCATGAATCCATTGGAAACCTGGAGAGACTCATGTACTTGAATATGAAGGATTGCAAGAATCTTAGGATGCTTCCGAAGAACCTGTGCATTTTTAAATCACTTGAAACACTCATTTTATCTGGTTGCTCAAATCTTGATGAGTTTCCACAATTTCTTCCATCGTTGAAGATCCTTGACGTGAGCCATTGTCATGGCCTTAGTGAAACCATTGACTTCTCACTTTTCCCCAATCTAGAGGAACTGATTCTTGTAAATTGCACAAGCTTGAAGAATGTTCATGAATCCATTGGAAACCTGGAGAGACTCATGTACTTGAATATGAAGGATTGCAAGAATCTTAGGAAGCTTCCGAAGAACATGTGCATGCTTAAATCACTTGAAACACTTATTTTATCTGGTTGCTCAAATCTTGATGAGTTTCCAGTGGAGATGGTGAAGAAGATGGAGTCTCTAAAAGTTCTTGAGACAGATGGAATTCCAATAAGCGAATTGTGGCCAGAAAGAAGTTCAACTATCTTGAGTTCTTTTCCATCCTCTTTGGTAGAGTTAAGTCTGAAGGGGTGCAATCTTTCTGATGATGTCCTTCCTACGGATTTAAGTAATCTATCCCACTTGCGAATACTACGTTTAGATAAGAATCCAATTTGCAATCTGCCAGTTTTCATCAAAGGTTTAAGGAGGATCAATGAACTCTCTTTCAAGGGTTGTGATAGGCTCGGATCGCTTATGGGGTTGCCGGACGTACAACAAACGTTAAGTATAGCCGGATGCACATCATTAATAAAATTATCTTTTCATCCCCTTAGGCAACCGTGTTCATTACAACTGGCTGACAACTGGAATCTTATTGAGTGGGTGGGCTTTTACAAGTTAGAGCCTATTGATAGAGTTGATGTGGAAATGATCAAACTTTTGGGCTTGTGCAACTTGGAGTCCATGCCAGCTGTTCGAATGTATAATCCATCGACATTCAGAGACCCCAAAGAGGTCCCCGTCCAGGTGCGCCTCTCTTTCTCTCTCTCATAAGTCTTAAATATATAATGGGAAACAAATGACTGAGTAATGTTGTGATGATTGTGGCAAATACATAGGGACTGTATCAATATGGTATATTCAGCACGTTCTTTGTTGGGAATGAGGTTCCAGGCCAGTTCAGCTATAAAAGTACCAAGTCCTCGATATCTTTTATTGTCCCTTTACTACTTGCTAGTCACAGAATTCGAGGCTTGAACATCTTTGCTACCTATGCAAAGGAAAATTCAAATAATGATTTTACTCGACCTAGAATTGCTCCAATAATGATCAAAGTGAGAAACAAGAGTAAGGGCCTGAAGTGGATCCTTGCCCCAGGGTTCTATGGAATTCCAGATGACGGAGAAGATATGATATGGTTGAGCCATTGGAAGATGGAGAATAAAACAATATTACAATGTGGAGATGAAGTGGTGGTTTCGGTAATAACCGGACAACGTGACGTGTTTTGGGTAAAGGAGTTTGGTGTCGAGCTTGTGCAGGAGCACCAAGACAAGATGAGTACCCAACACAACTCCAAATCATATCCTAATTATCCATTTGTTATCGGTGGAGATTTGCGGACGTGGAAGTGCAGACCGGGAATATACTTCCTGGGCAGTTATAGAACAAAAGATATTGACGACATTGATATCCTCATCATGGAATCTGATGAAGAAGACACAAGTATGTTGTGTTGTTGTATTGCATTGAATTATACTCCATCCAAACACTTCCAGGTGTGTCCGTATTCATTTCAAAAACATTTCCAATAAATTTTATGTTATTTGTATGTTTTTCAGACAAAGAATGGCAAGAGAATGAACCTGATGACACAATTCCAAAGACGAGGGTTGCTAGCAATAACTGCAGCCTGAGAGGCTGGAAGGTGCGCCTCACAGCTGTTGGCTTCTTTTTCGCGCTTGCTCTAGTAGGTTGGTCCTCCATCTCCCAAAAAAAGAAGCGACACTCGTCCACAAGCCCACCATGAGTTTGTAATTTGACTTGGTATAGATGTATCTTTGCATTCCTTGCTCTCAAGATGTTTTCTACCTTCAAAACTTCAAGTTCAAAGCTAATCACTCTTAACCTCTAAAAGCCCCTTCCAACTAGATACCGAAGTTTAAATGTGTTCAACGCCATCAAATGTAGCATAAAATACATCCAGCATTAGCGATACTAGCAGAGTATCAGTAAATAAGTAAAACAAAAAAATGCTTCTACACATGGTAGCGGTTTTTTATTTTTTATTTTTTTGGGAAAACAAAAGCAGACCTCACAGGCTGCACATCCAAGTGGCAAACAAAATTTTAAATAAAGCTAATGACGAATGAAGAGTATTGAAACACTTATAGCCCTCGAACGCTGGCTACATGGTCTTTTCTTATAACAATAAAAGGAACAAATTCATCAAGTCACATTTGAGCCATCTAAAAAAAATTAAAGCAAACACCACAAACAACCCAAAATATGTTCAAACCTAGTATCAAACTAATTCTAAACTGCATCCATCCCAAACAATGAATATGGGAAAAATGAAAATTTCATGGGACATTTAATCCAACGAATTTACTGATGGGTCCTAAGATTAGTATGGGATTATAGTTAACCACAATTATATGCAATCAGTACCTCTCCCTGTGTAGTGTTGTCCCCCTCAGGAACCTGCACATCCATAAATCATGTTTAGTCATGTTTAAATTACTAAACGTACAAAACTTAAGAAAAACTCATCTTGATGTTAAAAATATGAATTGTATCTAAGGGGAAATTTTTAATTGTGACGCGAACACAAGTGGTACACTACATATTTTAATAGAAGTGGTCAGAAATTTTATTTTTTAAGTTATTAACTTTTTAGCACACATATCCAACCATTTGTATAGTAACATGTGATGTACCATCCCGTGTACCGATCATACTGAAAAATTCCTCGTATCTGAGCATGCACGTGAGACCTTGGGAACTGTGAAATTTTCATTCTTTTCAATTTGGATGTAAGAGTTAAAATCTTACAGTGCCAAATACACAACTGCTGATTTCCTCATCTGACTTGCCTAACCATTTTGCTTGGATCTCTCACATAAGAAGCAACTTGTTCACTGATATTCTGCAATTGGAAAAAGAAAAATGAATTCTTGGTGAATATCTGGCAAAGCATGGCACAAGTCCGTCATAAGGAAAGGCATGGTTACAAGTTCAATTATAGAGCCAAACCTGATTAAAGTCGTATGATTCTCTCCCCTCTTTTTTTACCTTCTTTTCTCTCTCCTCCTATTTGAACAGTCACGGTTAAACTACATCAACATCTTATATTAATTTTTTATTGAAAGAGAAAGACAACATAAAGAATATGAAAGGAGGAGATGAAAGGGGATGGAAAGAAGAGGGAAGAGAATCCTAGTCCCTGATTAAAATCATGCAGTTTGCTTTTAATAGCAGCAGCACATGTGGTTACCTTCATCTTCCTCTGCCATTTGTCTATCGATTTGTTTCTGAAAGTGGCTATTCTACAAGATACAGCATGACAGGTCTTAGTTAGACCAAGTAACCGGCATGGAAATGCTTTCTGAAGTAAGATTCTGAACTCGAGAGCTTTGTGCCAAAGAGACTTCAGAAAAATGAAAAAAAAAAAAGAAAAAAACATAGAATATGAGTAAGAATAAACATCGATCAGACAATAATTCACTGTATAAATCATTTTTTCATCTTTAAAGTGTGGCTTAAAAGGAAGCTTTAAACAAGTAGCAATAATTTCATATTGAAAAATAAAACCTATTTCATGGATATTACAAGAGCCATTATTCTGAAAAACACACCTTTTGGTTCTCCACTGCTTGACTTTTAAGAAGATCTTCGTCCTTGTGACGATTCAGATTCTTTAAAATATCTCTGCGACGGAATAAACAAAACCAATCTAGGCCAAAATTGACTTATTCGATTTGATTATGTTCATTGATTTTTCTGTTCACATGTTTACCCCTACTTGCCATGTAGTTTTGGGGGTGTTCTACTCTTTAGAGCATAGTGCTCTTCTCTTTACACACAAGTTTCAATTTTATGATTCTTAAACTAAGAGACCATTTGATAATCATTTCGTTTTCAGTTTAAAAATATAAAAAAAACTAAATGGAGATTTCAAAATTCGGCCTAGAATTTTCGCTTTTGATTTTCAGTTTTAATTTTTTTTTTTTTAACAACTGAAAACTAAAAATAGTTACGTAAGAATTTTTTGGTTTTTAATTTTCAAAAAAAAAAAAAACTGAAAACTCCAAACTATAAGCTAAAAATTAAAAAGTGAAATCAAAATGGGCTGTCAACAAAATTGAAAAAAGACTGGGCTCAATTACTGAATTCAAAGCAGGGCTTATAGGCCCAATGGATCCGCATAAATATTTTTCGTTATTATTATTTTTAAATCAAAACTAAAATCTCTTATTTACAAGTTATCGTAGTAGTAAGCATGTTATTTTATCTTATAAGAAAAAGGAAAAAAAGTAATGAACAGCTGCACATAAACTAAATACAAAAAGGAATGAAATAGTGAAGAGGAGTGGGAGACTAACGTTTAATTCAAGATAAAGAAAGAAAGAAAGGTAATCGCGTTTCCAAAAACAAAAAAAGAAAGAAAGGTAATCGCACCACGACGGCGGCGACGTGGCGGTCATTTAACGGAAAATAACAGACAAATCAGCCTCCAGATCAAGTCTTACTGCTGAGCTCCGACCAACCGTTGATGGAGGCAATCAGGAAGCTCAGAGATCAGGTCGCCAAGCAACAGCAGGTACTCTCTTGTTTGATTCCGAATTTGTATTTCGGTATGGATTATGATATGAACATAATCTGCGTTGATTGCGAGATACTGAGATTGCTTAATGAATAATATTTATATAATTGTTCGAGTTGAATTGGATCGATTCGAATTCGAATAGATTTTTCACTATTTCTGCTCTGTTTGGGGATGTGTTGGAGTGTAATGTTGCTGAATTTCTGAAATTTTGAGCTAGGCGTTGCTAATTACTTATCGATTTTCGGATTTAATTGGATGCTTAATTTTTACATTTTCGAAAAACTTCAAGCGAAAATGGCATATAATTCAACGTTCTATGCTTCGTTAATGCATAAGAGTTAGTCGAAGCTTTATCGAGTTTGCTTTTGATTATTTTGTGAACACCGTCAGGCTGTGTTCAAACAATTTTCTGGTGGCATATATGGGGGATCGGATAATGTTGCCTCGGATGAAAATGAATTTCAACAGCATCAGAAACTCGAGAAGCTGTACATATCAACTCGTGCTGCCAAGGTTGCTACGCTTATTTTTTGTCTGTGCTTTAAACGAGCATCGCGTTAGTTGTGTTACCTATCGTTTTTTGCTTCTTCTTTAACAGCATTACCAAAAGGAAATTGTCCGCGGAGTGGAAGGTTACATTGTGGCCGGTTCAAAGCACGTTGAAATAGGTATGTTGCTTGAAATGCGTTGTGATTTCTTGGGAGTTTGGATGTGAATACATGTTGGTTTTATCAGTTGCTATACATAATACTTTTTCAACAGGTACCAAGCTTTCTGAAGATAGCAGGAAATATGGTTCTGAAAAGACTTGCACCAGTGGTAACACACTGGCGAGAGCTGCACTGAGTTTTGGAAGAGCTCGGGCCCAAATGGAAAGAGAGTGCGGAGTTCTACTTAAAGCCCTTGGCACACAGGTTTAAGTTAAATTATTACTATACAATGCTTCATATTAAGTAAAAATCAAATATTGCCAGGGCCGGTTTCATACAAATGGAATTTCAACTGACTAATTTCCGTGTGCATTTGATCATTTTGAAAGAAATTTACAGTAAAAATTGTTTCCATTTTCATGTGTGGTTCAAGAACTGGACTGCTTTTTGTGTTGTTATGCATCATATGACAAACTGGTTCACCATTTCTTTCTATAGTTTTGCATAATAACTCTTTCTGTGCTTATCAATTTGCCTGTGTAGGTTGCAGAGCCTTTAAGAGCAATGATAGTGGGAGCGCCCTTGGAGGATGCTAGACATCTTGCTCAACGATATGCTAGAATGCGGCAAGAAGCTGAAGCTCAGGTACATGCAGTTTCTTCTGCTTCCTACCAATTATACTACAGTGAATTTATATGTTACATGGTGATCGTACATTCTCGGTTAACTTTTTTTGTTTTCTTTTAAAAGTGTTTGTTCATTTTGAGACAATCATGCATTGGTATTCAATCATAGAGAACGCAAAATCTTAAGATGTTTAATGTAAACTTGTTGAGATTGCTTCATTACTTGAAGCTTTGTTGTGATTTGGTTTTTGGTTTTTTTATTACTCCTTCAGATTTGTCTATATATACTAACTTGCACCGGGATAGGCTATAGATGTTTCCAGACGCCAGGCCAAAGTACGGGATTCTGCAGCTAATGCTGATATTATCATGAAACTAGAAGCTGCTGAAGCCAAGCTTCAGGAGCTGCAGTCTAGCGTTGCAATATTGGGAAAAGAAGCTAGTGCAGCTATGGCTGCTATTGAAGGTCAACAACAAAGATTGACTCTTCAGCGGCTTCTTGCGATGGTAAAGGATTGCCTCCCCTTTTTATTCAAGTATTAAGACCTTGGCCTGTTCTAGTTACAAGACTGAAAAGGAAATTAATTTTGTAAATTTTTCATTTTTCGTCCCCATTCAAGGTGGAAGCAGAGCGCAACTATCATCAGAACGTACTTCAGATACTTGATCAGCTTGAAGGCGAGGTATGAAATATCCTAAAGTCTTCCTTTCAGCAAGACAATTTCCTTTCCCAATTCATTTGGCTGTAAATTATTCTAGTGTCTTGCTGCTTTAAGCAGAGATCATTGACACTATTTGTTGGGACAGATTTTGTCAGAAAAGCAGCGAATTGAAGCATCACCTAGTCCGCCTACAGAGGACACTATGCCTCCGCCACCATCGTATGAGGATCTCAGCCGTAGCTTTGCTTCTGAAACGTATGATGAATTGACAGAATTGAGGGACTATTTCTTAGGAGAGGTATCTTTATGCTAATGTTGTTGTATCCAAGTTTTAGTCTGTTCGACTTTTTAGTCTCTACTAATTGTTTCCTTTCGCCTACCGCAGGTTATGTACACCTTCCACGCTGTAACCGATGTGGAGTTAAGTTTGTCATTCGGGGATTATGTCGTTGTCCGGAAGGTTCTGTCATCTTTCCAGCTTGCATGTTTTCATCTTATATTCATGTTCGGATTTTTCTCCTTCGTATGGAGGTTAAATTTTCTTGCCCTTGAGCAGGTATCAAACAATGGCTGGGCTGAGGGTGAATGCAAGGGAAAAGCCGGTTGGTTCCCCTTTAATTACGTTGAAAAGCGGGAGCGTGCGCTTGCTAGCAAGGTCGCTGCAGTCTTTTAAATCTTTTGGTTGCCTGTTTAATTTGCTTGTGTTTGTGCTTCTGCTCTGGGATTTCAACTTCTTTTATATTGAGATTCAGTCGTCTTTGATGATCTCTAGTTGGCTTAGCGTCATCCTCAAGAAAGATGCGATGCATACACATGGAAGGGCTAATACTTTGTATATCCGCTATAGTCCAACCCAATGTCGTCTTGGGCTCTCTCAGCACCCTCAAAAGCTTTTCTTCTTCCACCTTAGTCAACTTAGAATCAATAATAACGGGTAATGTTTCCGACTCACCAAGGTAGGCATACTTCAAGTGCTCGGGTAGTTGCTTGAGTTCCTCAAAGGGAGAAGTTCCTCGAAAAGCTGGCGACCTCGGACATGATTACCTGGAACTTGTTGCACACTTTTAACCTCAACAATCGCTGGTAGTGCGTTAAGTGCAGCTTGCATTTCATTAAGTTCACTTTCCAATTCGTACTCATCACAGTTTTGAGTAAGGCATGTCTCATGCATCTGCGGATCAAGTAAGCATGAACAATTTGGTATCTACTCGAAAACGAGCATATACCTTCCCAGGTTGCTTCGTGGCATAAAAAATTCGGAATTCCATCGTCTCCTCAAAGACTGTCATTGTTAAGAGACCTTCTTTCACATCGATTTTAGTCCCTGAGGTAGCCATGGACGGTCTTCCGAAAATAATCGGAATCTCCTTCTCATGCATAGGAGCAACTTCCATATCAAGCACAATAAGATCCACTGGTAGGATAAAGTGATCAACTTGAACAAGAACATTCTTCAAAATTCTCTGCAGATATTTTACTAATCGGTTTGCGAGTTGTAAAACTACTAAAGTGGGTTGAAGCTCTCCTAAACTTAGCTGTTCATACATTGAAAAAGGCATCAAATTTATGCTAGCCCCCAAATCAAGTAGGGCTTTTTTAAACGTGAGATTACCAACATTTTAAAAGATAGTAAATGTAGCATTACTCTTTATCAATTAAAAAGTGAACCACCCGTTTAAAAAAGTAAACATCCGCCCAATAAGGATTTGCCAAAATAAGCAAGTGAAGCAAATAGGGCCCATGGTTGTGTAACTTGATCGGGAATTTGTACGCAATTTAAACACGCATAATTTTTTCAAGAAAGTTAACATTAAGGATTCTATCTATTTAAACTATATTTTGTAAATCATATGATGTGGTTGTTAATAATTTGATTATCACATAAGTGTTGATTAACGTGCTTATTTTCTATTAATGACACATCACACAATTCTTAAATTGATTTAAAAAGTTGGTCTATCTAGCATTATTCTTTTCAGGTGTGACTGTGCTAGTAGGGTTAGCATTACTCTTTTTTATTATCACCAAAGGCGATTTTGAACCATATTACTAGCTCATTGTGAAGCTTAGCCCACTCTTCCACTTTTTTTTTTTTTTTTTTTTTTTTTTTGGGAAATTGGTTAATTCATTACCCAGGCAAAGATGCCAGTCAATACAAGGAGAGCCTACAACAAGGCAAGCAAACAACAAAACAAAGGAAAACTACGTACAGTAGAGGGAGTTACAAGGAACACACCATAGCCAAGCTATTGGGTCGCTCCCTCCACTACCCCTATTACATTAAGGAGGGTAGGGTAACCTGTCATTTTGAACCACAAAAACTAGTGAAGATGGGGGTCTGTTGACCCAAGAAATATCGCACATCTCTACACATCGCTGCGACGCCAACGAGTCCGCCATCATGTTGGCTGATCTTTAGTATAAATAATATCGTTTATTTGAAAGAAAAAAAAAATTGAAGATTTACTAGCTTAGCTTGACATGAAATTCAAATATCCAAACCAAAGGATTTTGTAGGAAAGGGTTCCTCTCTAGATCCCTTCCACCAAATCCTCCCCATCAAACAATTCGGATCTTTAAAATTTGATCCAACGACTAAAATTATTATAACTTTTAAAGTAGGCATCTGTTTGTAGTCGTTAGATCAAATTTTAAGGGTTCAGATTAGTTGATGAAAAAGATTTGATGAAATCATGGAAGGAATCCGGAGATGATTCCTTTCCTTTTATATATTCTTGGGGATCTCTTAGACAATTAACTGGACCCCACAACAAAATGACACCATTCAGTCGACACTCGCTAGGGTTTTCTCTCCTCATTTGGACATTCACACTTCACATCGATGTTAACCACACTTCACAAAAACAAAAAACAAAAAAAAAAAAAAATTAAATTAAATAAAAAGAAAGCCTTGTGCTTAATGTTTATCCACAAAGATTTTTATATTTGGACTACCAGTCAAAGTGGATATTTCCTACATGATTGGACTTTGAGGTTTTTCCTTGTGAACAAATCACAATTTTCGATTAGATATCTCGTATACAAATAACAATTTTCGACTAGATACGTTGTATAAAATTTATATGCATTCAGATTTAAAACTTAAAACAGAGTTTTACGTGTGTATACATTTTTATTTTCGAGATTTTAACGAATTTAACTTTGTATGTATACAGGGACAGAGGCTAAGAGAACCCAATGGGGGGAATGTGCTCAACTTATATGCATTTTATTTCACTCTCGCCAACAAACACAATACACTTCATTGTATACTCTTCTAATTCTGCCTTTATACGTATCAAACTGTAATTAACAGGTAAGAATAATTGACTCGTGGCATCGTATGTAGCCGAGTAATGTTTATGCATAATATAATCAACAAACTAAGTGCATTTGCACTGACGTTTGGCCATATGAGGTTTTAATTATACCAAGACAAAACCAAACGAGCTTTCAAGTTTTGATAAATGAAAGTGACGCTGCGCTTGCCCATACGACTTGAAACCTTGTGCCTCAAGACAAAACATGACCATCTTTCTAGAATGAGGATCTTCTTCGGATTCTTTATGAGGTCTTATGAGATCTTTTAATTGTGTTTGTTTATCGTAAATCGTGCAGTCAGTTTTTGTTAAATACTATTTATGTACCTTTTTAAATAAAAAATTTAAAATAATTTCTGACCGCATGATGTACAATGAATAGACACGATTAAACAATTTTCTAAATATTCACAAAGAGAATAAAAAAAAGGACCCTCATTCATCTTTCCATGCCTTCCTGTACCTTTTTTTGTTGTTTTTTGGTCCATTGCCTCTCTGTACTTATCTTTCCACATCCGACTGTCAACTTCTTCATCATTAACCATCTACTTAAAATTTCTCTACCTTCCATTCCAACGTCACACTCTTGAATAGTAACTTCTTTTATATGATCGTCATAACTTTACATGCCGTTACAAGTTCATTCATGTTACAACATGTTGCCGTAAATTCCTTTAACATGCATGATGGTATAAAATCATTCCGCGTGATGTTACACCAGCTTAGCTAAGTTCCTCTAGCATGCATGGTTTTATAAATTCATTCCGTGTTATGTTAAAACCACCTTAGCTAGGTTCCTCTAGCTTGCATGATTGTATAAGTTCCAAGAGGAACCCGAGAATTCTATAATCATATATGTTCATTATACATCATGCGATAAAAAATTATTGTAAGTTTTTTTAATTTAAAATTAAATATAAATAATATTTGATAAAAATTGATCATACGATATACGATAAACGGATATAATTAAAAGATCTTCGAGATCCTCGCAAAGAAAATCTGTCAAGAATATAAGTTCACTCCCCGCGTGATGTTACACCACTCTAGCTAGGTCAATTACAAACTATGTCACTCGTCCAAATTATAATGCCTATATGATCTATAACATGACGTGCCAGTATAACCGTCACACGTTTAAAATCTTTATCGAGAAAGTAATCTACAGTTATATGAACAAGCCTTTCCTACTATTTCCCGAAAATCTACTCACTTCTCCAATTCCACACAATTTATAAACTGAAAGCAAATGAAAAATCACAGAGAGTTGCAGTTGATATTTACATTGATGCTTGCATTCCGAAATAAGTACAAAGGGAAGAGAGAGAGAAGAGGAAGCTGAAGCACCCCAACTGAGTTAGTTGAAAGCCTTTAAAACTCCCCTCTTACAAAAAGTGGGAAGAAGAGACCGAAGTAAAACCACAAGAAGAAGAAGAAAAAAAAAAAAAAACAAACAAACAAACGAAATCCCTGCGTTAAAATTTACTTCAGAAGGATATAAGGATTGGATCTTGTGAGGTTTAATTCTAAATGGGTGATTTCCGCACACCAGTTTTCTTCGTCTGCGCTCCTTCGAGAATCAAGCGACAAAAACATAAAGCGCTGAAGGAGAAAAAAGTGTGCGGAAATGGCTTCCCACTCCAATTTGTTGTATCAAAAGGGTCTGAACCTCTTGGAGCCAAGAGATGGAGGACTGATCTGAGGAACTGTGAAGCCATCGTCCATCCAGAGTCTGTTGCTGGCATTCATGTTTGTACCCTCCTTTGTCTCTTTGAACCCGACGAACCCACCGCCCACCTGTGAATACTGATGCGGAGGAGCTTGCGGTGCCTGTGGGACCCACATCGCCATATTTTCCGATGAGAAAGAGTTCAGATTGCTTTCCGGATAGGCATCTGAAAACGGCAGCATCATATCGTTGTCGGCCTGCCATCACCAATCAAAAAAATGCAAGATGTCAGATCCAGCAGGCTAATTAACTAATTGATGACCAATCATGTCGTTTCCGCAAACTCATCATCTCTTATTGTCGTTAGGATGAAATAAATCAAACGAGAATCGAGAGACTAAAATAAACAGAAGTGTGCAGAAATCATTTCTGGACGGAAATTTCAAAATTTTATAGGGAAGAACGAGATCGATCAATGCAAACCTTAGAGAAACCAAAGGGGGCAGAAGAAAAATCAAGAAAGTCCTCAACGTGCCAGCCCGGAAGCGTCTCTATCAAGTACTCCGATATGCTACTAGTCGCACCCACCAAATTTCCACCGCCTTTGTTGACTGCAGCGGTTGAAGTTGAAATCTTGGCAGCAACTGGAGGTGGGTTTGGATTTGAAATTGGAGGGGAGGCGGTGGAAACAGATTCCTTGGTCAAAGGTTGATGCTTTTTGAGATCGGTAGCGGCGGTTTCAGAACTAGCAGTTGCTATAGTTGGCGGCGGTGGAGATTCGTAAAGGGCGGAGGTGGCGGAGAGCTTAATACCTGTTAGAAGAAATCGGTTGTGCTTCAGGGTGTGCTCGTTGGCGTTGTGAATTGGAAGGTCGCACTCCCTGCAGAGAATCGCTCTGTCCTGCTGACAAAACAAGAAGGCTCTTCTCTCCTGTGGATCAAGATTAAGAAACCCAAATCAGAAAATCGAGCCAAGTTAATATCTTTCCCGGATGGAGAATTAAAGGGAAGGAGGGAAGATATATATAGTAACAATCGAGCGGTAACCTAGTTAATACCTGACAGATATCACAGACAGGGAACTCCTTAGAGGAGGGGTGGATGAGAGAGAAGCGGTGGTGCTTGGAAGCGAG